CTCTTTTCAGATAACTAACCCCCAAGATAGCAGCAGTCTCAAATCCTTTATTCCAGTCGCTTTACTACCCAGTGCTGTTGCTCATTTAAGAACAGGCAGAGTTTCTACTCGCATTTTCAGACTTCTATTAAAGACGCCTGTCAATTCTCACTTCAGTTTCATCATTCATTACATTTTCCAGCAATTTCACGCAGTCCTGTCAACAGTAAGATTGACAGGAGAGACACACAGGCAGATGGAAACCTCTGAAGCAGAAAGGCACCACCAAGGAAATGGAAGCAGAAGGCTCTGTTAAGCAGCGTTATGGAGCAGTGACAGCTGGTGAAACACTGAGCAATATGCAAGTGATTATATGCTTTAATAAAAGTCTACTCCAGATTTAGCATAAGCCAACAAAAAAGATGCAAAAAAAATTAATCTTATTATGGTGTAGGCTTGTTTCAACAGCAATAGAAAAATACAGTCAGTTCCCTTTTTAAAAGTCTCCCAATACATCACTCACCTCTCTTCATGTTAGCAGCTACCAATAACTTAACAGAGTTAACAGAAAAGGAGCTCTACCAGAAATTTATCAACATTCTACAAGAGTTTAAACAAAAGTTAAACTGAAATGTCACTTATGAAATACTTCAAAAAAAGCTCCTCAATGGTTTCACACAGGATATCTTTTGGTGTATGGTCAAGAGCAAAGGCAGCTGCAAAATGAAGTTACATATGACTAGTTTTATGGCATGACTTTCATTAACAGCTAGCTTTCAGGCTTGTTGATCAGATTTTAATTTGAAAACCTTTTAAGGAAATTAATCTTTGAAGGATAAGTACTCTTTAAAATGCCATAAGAAAATCAGTTATGTGATGCCAGCAATTGGTTTGCCAAATGAATTAGGAAGAATGTTGCTTTTGCTCTACTGCCTTCCCCACTACCTCCTCATTCCTTCAAACACTTTCAACACCAGCAGCAAAAATTTCTTTTCCCCATAAAATTATTGACCTTTTCCTCTAAGCATCCTGGAAAAAAGGTAAGCTTCTGTTTAGATGCAAGAATAGAGCTGCAATACTGCTGCAAAGATCTCCAAAACCTCAAGTGAATATATGAACAGAAACAAAACAGCTCAATTTGTTCCCACTGCAAAAAAAATCTATGCACAAAGCTCAGCCGTTTAACAAAAAGTGTTAATTTAGAGGACTTTACGCAAAACAGAGTAATGGCAAACTGTTAGCATAGTCCATGCCATTAAATTATAGACACTGACACAGCATCAATTACAAGCAGCTTGAGCTGAAACCATTATAATCAAATGCTGGTTTTAACTTCTGTTTGTAATTAATTTAAAGCAGTGCAACACCTGCATACCAAAGGGTTTCAGTATGACATCAGCAGGTGGAAAATCATTTACACAAATATATTCTGCCCAAAGTTGTTATTTTATAAACATAATACATTGTGAAACAGCTAATGTGTAATCAGGGCCTGCATCAGAGGTAAAATCCTCAACTGCCCCATTTTGGCTGCATGTTTCTGAACAGACTTTCCATGTTCACAGGATCTTTTCATCATTAATAGGCAGAACTCTACACATGCATAGAGCTGGCTCTGAGGACAACCAGACAAATTGGAAATTATTTGATTAAATTTAAGTCCTTGACTTGTCACAAGCAGTTTGAAAGCCACACACCAAAATCTCCATTCCAGGGTGAAACCTATTTCCACACTTGTAGAGCTAAATATACAGATGAAATATATAACTAAGGTAAAAAGAAAAATCAAACTTCCACAAGGAATAATCTCCATGCAATGAACCACAGCACCACAACCTGCAAAAGTCACTTACTTTTCTCCGAGAGTCACCCGGAGGCTGCTCTGGAGTAAAGAAATTAATTGTTCACCATGTTGTGTTTAACAGATACCCATATATATCCAAATATAGTTGGAACATACTGATGAAAGCCAAAGCAATAACCTCACAAGATACTTTTTGATACCAAATAAATATTCTTGGACAAAGACATGAAATTTACAGTTAAGGTTGCAACCCTAAAAAAGTTACTATAATACAAAGTTATGGGAATTAAAGAGATTCAAATAGTTCTACTTTGTATATGTTCTCCAAAATAAATATAAACTGAGAACTGTTTATTATCCCTCTAAGCCCATTCAAAAAGTTGTAGCTAGGTAACTTAAACCCAAAATAAACTATTTAAAGTCTATAAATCAGTGAAAGTCTCTCCAATTCATCTAGAATCTCAAGAACTCAGTGCTCACTGCCCTGTACTCCCTTATTACTGACTGAGGATTCTGCATTCTAGCGGACAATTTTTCTAGTTATAGACAAGGCTGAATAAATTCACTCTCTTGCGGCCAATAGCTCCCAAAAGGGAGCTATTATCACTGGCCAATAGCTCCCAAAAGGGAGCTCCCAAAGGGGAGCTATTATGGGAGCTATAGCTCCCAAAAGGGAGCTATTATCACAGTTTCAAAATGTATTTTTTCTTGTGAAATAGCTACTAATTTTCCTCAACTTCAAGCTTTTCTTTTGCATAGGATAAAGGGGGTTATAACAGAAATACAAATTATTGAGTCTGAAATTAGTACTAGCATCAACTCAACCATGATTTCCCAGTAGCTTCCTGTATCTTGGCCACTTCCATATTAACTTTACTTACTTGGCCAGTTTGAAGACTTGTGCTACAACTGGATTTGCTTTCCCACTTAAGATACATATTTATACGAAAACAACAGAACTTGAGGCCAACAGATGAGATTTCTATCAGTGTCATGTAACGAGAGGAAAACTTACCTCCAAACAGTTCGAATTCTCTTAAGCCCTCAACAATGAACTTTTCAGACACCCACCGCTAAAAGAAAGCAGAATCCACCCAGAATTAATTATTTCTTTTAGAGACAAGCTGATATTCAATTATTCCCCCCCTTCCCCAAACAAACAGAACAGAATTGCTGTTATCATTTAAACGCTGGGGTCAGGGTGATGAGCTGTGACAGGGGAGCGCGTCCCTCCTCCGGCCGGTGCGGATACCATCCCGCACCGCGGTTTGCTGGATAACGGGCCTGGGAACGGCAGTTCAGATGCTCCAGACGAACCCCCCGTGCGCGCACACACGGCGCGAGAGGAGCTACAGCCCGCGGGGCCGCACGGGGTGTTCGCTGGCACGCGAGAGGCAGGAAAAAACCCTCGACTACTAATAACGGGGACCAGGCGCGTGAAGCGTTCGGTTCTTTGCGGGTTACCGGCTAAACGTGACATCTAAACACTCCTGTTTACACTAGCGCCACTGCAGCCGCGCTTTCCTGCAAGGCGCCGAATCCCCGCGGCGCGGAGCGGAGCGGAGCGAGCGCCGCTCCCCGCGGCCCGCACCCGGGGCCGCTGGCCCGGGAGGCCGCGCCGGGCCCGCGCCCTTGGG